CAGAACCAACACTGATAGATACTAAGGCCCAGGCTGGACACTGTCTTATTTTTCAAGCATATATCTCTGGACCTACAACCCGGCCAAGGGCCCCCTGGGTAGTGGAAAATGGTTACTGCAGTTGGCTGCTGAGAGATTGGAGGTTCAAGTTCACCTGGAGATAACTCGGAAGAAAATCCGACATTGAAAACACTATGGGGCAAAATTCCACTGTGATGCACACAGATCCTCCATGAGGCAGAGCTGAGTCAGTGAGTGCTCCCTGTAAGCCATCTGACTCCTCCAGCTCAACGTGTTGACCCTATGACCTCTGTCTCATCTTACCGGCTCAGCCTCCTGACTTCTCAGAGTGAGGAAATTAGGTTAATTATGTCATGATGCTACTTGTGTACCTTTTTGAAGCAATTTCAAAGCAGAATCTCCCATGCACAGCACTATTCTTGTAAAAACTCCCATAGCATGAGTTAAAGGAAGCCTTCCCTCAAGATAGGATGGCGGGGCCCAGCACCTGGGGCTACCAGAAGCTGGGAGAGACAAGAAAGGATCTCCCCCGAGAGCCTTCAGAGAGAACATGGCCCTGCTGATGCGCTGAATTTGAACTTTTAGTCTCCAGAACTGTGAGAAAATCAATGTCTGCTTTTAAAAGCCATTTTAAAAGCAGCACCCTAAGGACACCTGAAAAGCTTCCAGAATGGCCCCAGATAGGGACAAAGGTGTCCACCCCACGGCCTTGCAAGCACCATACTGTCACTGATGTCCTTTCTTGCCCCTCATCATGAATAATCCAAATCAGATCTTGGTTCAATTCAATTTCTTTATTTGCTTAAGAAACACAATACAAAAACGAGGCTCAGATGCCCGCATCAGGGACTCATACCAAATCTGCACACTGCGTAAAGAACATCATTCCAAAAAAGAAACTGTTCCCGACCTTCATTCCTAAACTTACTCCAGTCTCTCAGAGTTTGGACACTGCCTGAAATAATCCATAAATAGATCTTCTCTCCCCTACTTCCCAGAAGCAGCAATTAAAAGAAAATGACTTTCAGAATACACAGGGTTGAACTTCCCAAAACCTTGCTTTGGGTTGAAGGACACCCAAAGCCTCTCTGCCCTTGACTTCCCCTCTCACAAGACCCACCTGAAAAGGCTCATCACAGCAATGCAATTTTCACCCAGATGAGCAAAATCACGTTTGCCAACCAGGTTTTAACATCCGCTCCCCTATTGCCATGTGTTCCAGGAAATATCCAAGGGGGGTTGATGCCTCTCCACTACCCTACTAAGCCTGTGTGTAGATTTAGATACGAGGCAACATGCTGGTGTTGGCAGTGAATTGTCTCATTTGAGCCAAGCTGTCAAAAATGTTCATCTGTGGGAAGGCAGAGCTTCTCCCAACCTACACCTCACCTTTATGCAGATACAAACAGGACTGTCTTCCTCAACACATGTTACTGCTGTCAGATGAAAACTGCTGTCATAAATCTACAAACCTACAATATCTAAAAGACGCTATTGGGCAGTGCACACCCGGGCAACCGTCCATGGCAGTCCTGCTTGAGCCCCTCTCCCCTTGCCTGAAAATTACCCAAATTGCAGCTACAATAAGAAAAACAATATATGAGGGGGTTTTAAAGTTCGTGGGAAAATGTAATTAAAAGATAATGAATTTTTTTTTTAATAGAAACTAGTGGAACCCCTGAAACTCTGGTCCTTCATTACCCTGTAGTTCTGGAACTACTATGCTATGATCAAATTTCTACCCCTATACTTAAATTTCAGTCAAACAATAGATAGATCAATAAGGGGACTAGTAACACTAGTGAGGTATACACAGCTTAGAATAATCAACCATTTGAGATCAAAAGGGCAGCATTTACCCAAAGACAAAAGTTCAGGAGGGTTAAGAAAGAAAGAGGAATGGAAACAGGAAACAGGGAAGAGGTGGAATAAGTGATGTAATGTTGTTGGGATTATAATCAATGATATGAAACAAAGTGTGTTGTGAACTGTTAGAAATATCGGTTCTGTAAACTTTCTCCCAAATCACAATAAAAAAGTTTATTTTTTTAAAAAAAAAGAACAGAATTTTTCCACAAATTTTTTCAAGCCCTCTTACACATGAAACACTTTCACATCTAATTTCTCATTGGCTCCTAGTAAACTCCACCAGCTGGGAGGGATGTGTGGTTCCAGCTCCAATTCTCTGGTTGGCTTGTAGGACACAGAGTTGAAAGGATTCCAAGAGGCCACCTAATCCAAGGTTCCCGATCTGGAGCCTGTACAGTTCCTGCGAGGCATCTGTAAGTCCACGTGCTGGCCAACTGACCTCACAATGTGTTCCTCAGAGCTGCACGCCTGTCTAAATGTGTGTGGGTGTTCTGGTGAAAGATTCAAATTCATTTTTTAAACTGAGACCCATTTCTAACATCTGGAAAAATGTCAACAGGTCTTTCACATGATGAGGCCATATTTTTAACCCCTATGGATGGAGAAACTATATAATAACTGAAAAAGATGAAGGATTTAATATCTGTTTTAAATGAAAGATATAACCAGGGGAGTGCCCTCAAGACATAAGTCAGCAAAAAGATTGGTCTCAGAATAGAAGTGTCCTGATTCCTGGTCTAGTGTTCGTACCCAAGGTAGCTCCCATATTTCTCCTCTAGCTCCCAACTTAGAGATGCAACCTAAGTAAGATGCAACCACTGGTTTGCCCAATTCCAACTGAGGACCAAAGCCTCCCAGGAAACGCCTAGTAAATTTGTCTGGATCTCAATAGATCTCCCCTTAATTGATTCATTCATTTGGTGAGGACTTAAAAGCTTGGTGGGATATATGAAGGCAATCACTACTCTCTTTAGAGTGATTTCCACACAACAGAGCCCAAAGGGATCCGATGGATCTAGTTCAGCCTTGAGTCGAAAGTTTGGTGAGGGGAGGGGCCGTGTAGAAAGCCCTGCTGTCTCAGCAGGTGATGCCGTGACCCCCTAACTCCCAGTATCCTTTCCCCAAACGCAGTGTCTGCCTCTTGCTTCATGAAGGAATCTCCGTGCTTTCTCAGTCTCAATACATTCATAATGGCACGTGGCTGTCCTGTCTTGTCTTCAGTCAAGTCCATAAAGCACCAGATCAGGGCATCAGAAGGCATCTTCAGGGTCTCCTCCTGGCTAACTCCACCAATTGATTGGCTTGTTCAAGGGAATTGGGGTCCAGGGCACAACTTTCAATCTGGACTTTGGCCATCAGGACTTGTGATGTTCTAGGATAAAAAAACAAACAACAAAACATATACATTTTAACCATAGTTCAATTATTTGTGGGTCCCATGTAAGCTGGCTCCATAGCCAGAACTTCATCCTAAACCTTCTTCCAGTCCGGTAACAAAAGATTTATCATCCCACCAACATGTCATGTTAGCTCCCACTTCAGAGTTTTTGCTCACGTGGCCCACACACACAAACACACACACAAACACACACACTGCATGCCATCTTTCAGGCAGTACTCTTCCTATCTAAAATCTCCCTCTTTCAATATCAAAATCAATGCCTGCCAACTCCCAGAAGCCTTCCAGGACCAGCTTGCTTTGTTGGCCTCAGTTACCACTCATTTGGTAGCTATTTAATTCCATCATTGGTAAACACCTTGACTTTTTCACTAGCATATGAAGTTTTGACAGGTAGGACTGCCCAGCTCCTTGCACACCTAGGCACATAGGAGGCTCTCAATTACTGTTGGTTGAATGAATGAGTGAGTGGACAAATGAGCAAATGAATGCTTAGTAAAACTAGAAGATGGAGTTGGGATTACTCAGGATGTCAGAACTGATATTTCTATAATATTTTTCACAAAGAGCTCAAATCACTCCATAGTTATGTGTATTACCTATGCCAGCGTAGAGGGTAAATCATCCCTAATAGACCCATTCTCCAGGAGAAGACACTAAGGTAAAGAGAAGTCTAAAATCATTGTTACTTCTCATCAGGAAAACCAGCCAATTGCAAGGCACTGGAATAACAAAGTACAAGTATCATGAAAAAAAACCTAGTTTTCTCAAGAGACTTATCAAATGGCTCCGGATAGTAACTCTAGAAGAGGAAGACAGATGTGTTTTTGAGTGATGATAACATCATAACAATGAGTCTGGCTTCCTGGAGAAACATTTGGACGTTGGAGTTCTGTTCAACACCAACAAGCAGGATGTTTTATTCCTTTAAAGTCATACCTTCATTCATTCAGTAGTCTCTGCACTATCGATCTGAATCAAATGCTCGTTCCCAGGTTATCTTAAGCAAACTTGAAAATGGTGAGGAGAATCTATCAGAGACTACATGCGAAACTCAAGAATTTTTTTAAAATCAGTGATAAGTACTATCTCTAAAGGGAAGAATCCCAGGGCCTCTAGGGGGAGGGGGATTATCAGGAAAAGCATCAATCCATTCAGAAGCATGAGAGTGATGGCAGGGTGGAACTATTCAATTAACCAAGGGCAAGGTCAGTGAATGATCGCCTCCTGGAAGCCCCTCAGAATCAAACAGCCCACAGAGCCTTCTCTCTACCTCAACCATCCCTTAATTGATATATTTCTTACTTTTTATGACAGTCTAGAATTGGGCAGTCAAACTGCAGAATCTGGGAAATAATAGGAGGACAAGCTAGGATGGTAGCCAGTCCAAAACTCCATATTGATCTCAAAGAGTATGAACATGCATATACAACTAGAGAACTGAGCCAAAGACACCAAAACTAACCCCACCACCATCGAGTTGATCCCAGCTCATAGCAACCCTATATAGGGTTTCCAAGACTAAATCTTTACATGGGATAACAGTCTCATTTTTCTCCTGAGGAGCAGCTGGTGGGTTTGAACTGCCAACTTTGCATTTAACAGCCCATTGCCTAACCCACAGCATTAAACTAAATAAAGAAGATGCTAGTTATGGGGTAAAGTCAGTGAGAGTTTTGGATAAGGAAGATCATTAAGATTTAGAATGGTCTCACAGAGCCTCAGTGAAGAGGTGGCATTTGAGCTGGGTCCTGAAAGTTCTGGGAAAGAAGGGGAGGGGAAGGCAATCCCACTTGAAGGTGACCATGAACCTGCTGTCACTTGTGGTGCCATATTACAATGTCTTCTGCCCTTCCTCACCTGCTGTGTCTCCCTGTACGGAAACTGGGCGTATGTATGCCGGCTGTAGGGGCCTCTCGGGCCCATGAGGCTGCGGACAGTGTGGCTATTATTGCCAGCAAACATGCTAACCAAGTCAGCAGCAAACTGGTAGCGTCTCTCTTCAAGATTTCTGCCGGGCACCGGGGAATGCCCCCCCTGACTCTGCAGGGTAGCTGCCAGTTTTCTGAGGGAGGAGTTGGAGAGCTTGTAAAAAACCCTCTTAAAGCTGGGGTGTCGTCTGATCTGGAACCAGAAAAGAAGGCAGGCAGTCAGTATGGCTCGCATGGAATCCCTCCTACCCACGTCCCCTCCCCCAACTCCATACAGCCAGGCTCCGTACCTCATTTCCCCAGAATGTTTAAATCCTCCCACTGCCCCCTGCCTCTCAGACTATGGGAAAACGGAGAAAAAAACTGCAGGTCTTTTGGGTCAGAAAATTAATGGGTAAAGCACATTGTGTGGCTATGTGACCTCTCTGAGCCTCTGCCATTTATCTGTAAAATGGGAATAATAGCATAGCCCTAGGGCTGGTAGTTGACCCAACTCATGATGACCCCAGGTGCGTCAAAGTAGAACTGTGCGCCACAGGATTTTCAATGGCTAATTTTTCTGAAGTAAGTCCTAGTGTGGCGTTGTAAAATAAGTGTTGTATCGCAAGGTCAGTTTGAACCACAGAGGTGACTGTTCAAGCTCATCAGCTGCTCCTCCAAAACGCTATACAGGGTCGCTGAGTCGAAACTGACTTGGTGGCACTTAACAACAACATCTTCCAGGAGTCTCTGAGTAGGTCTGAACCTCTATCCTTTTGGTTTAGTAGCCAATTGCTTCACCGTTTACGCCATCCAGGATTGTTGGTGGGTCGGAGTAAGTGATATCATTTATGTAAACTCTTTGTCATAGAGAAGATGTTGTTAAGTACAAGTCGACTCATAGTGAGTCTGGTGCACAGGGTTCCCGAGGCTGTAAATCTTTACGGGAGCAGAACGCCTCATCTTTCTCCCGCAGAACAGCTGGTAGTTTCGAACTGCTGACCTTGAATTGGCAGCCCAATTCGTAACCACTACGCTACCAGAGAGTAGATGTTAGAAGACTTTTATTTCCTACCCTAAGCTCCTTCAGCAAGCGCCTTGCTCTTAATACTTTAATGCCTTCTGTTGGGTCCATGGGGAGATTGAGTTCCTCAACCTAAGGAAGCTGACCTAAGGCAAGGACTTGGGGGCAGGTAGTTTATTTGGAAAGTCTTCCCAGAAATCATTGATGGGGGAGTGAAGATGTAAGACAACGATGTGAAAGTAGCCCACTCAGGGTTGTGACTTGAGCTTAATCCCATCAGGGCATGTGGGCAGACCAGGTAGAATATATTTATTCCTCAGAGTTATCCCTCCAAGAGACAAGAGAGCTGGGACACCTATATACCAACACTCATCAGCCATAGGTTGAGGGCTGCTCATGAGAAGATCCCATTCTAGTACCTTCAAGTCAATTCCAATGCATAGAAACCCTATAGGAATTGTTCCATAGGGGTTCAGAATGCCTCATCATCTTCCATGGAGTGGCTGGTGGATTTGAACCCACCAACCTTTCAGTTAGCAACTTACACTTAACCCTTGTTGTTGCTAAGTGCTGTTGAGTCAGTCCCAACTTGTAGTAACCTTATAAAGAGATTCCGAGGAGCAGCTGGTAAATCTGAACTGCCAACCTTGCAGTTCAAGCTGACCTTGGGGTCCAGTACATTATCCCACAGCACCACACCAGGACTCATTAACCCTGAAGGTTATTAATCCTGGCCTACCATGGCACTGTAGGATATCCATTTGACCACAAGGTAGGTTTGGACAGGAAGGTCGGTGGTTCAAACTCACCATCTGCTCCTTGGAAACCCTAGACTGGGTCGCTGTGGGTCAGAATCCACTCAGTGGTACTTAACAACAACTGCATGGGTGGGAAAATGCCTCTAGAAGTTAGTCCTAAAGCAATAGAGGCAACTAGAATTTGGGCTGGTGTGCAATAGTGGTAAGATGGTGGTGGTGGTGTGCTGTGGAGTTGGTTCAGACTCATAGCACCCTGAATAGGGTTTCCAAGGCTGTAAATCTTTATGGGAGCAGAAAGCCTCATGTTTCTCCTATGAAACAGCTGGTAGTTTCAAACTGCTGATCTTAAGGTTAGAAGCCCAACTCATAACCACTACGCTACCAGAGCTCCTTAGTGGTAAGATCTAGGAGCTGCACTCAACCCTAACACCTCCTGACCTCCTTTATGTTTGTCTGTAGACCAAGTCGACTGTAAGTTCTTCAAAGGGAGGGATTCTTCTTACTGGCTGTCTAGCAGGGGGAGGAAAAGCTACAAGCCTAAAGAAATTGGAAACCATATAAATATGTGTGGCCAAAAAGAAGGTGAAAAGGGAGAGACTAGAGGATTCAATCAGAGGGCTGGCAAGTCACCCCTATTGGCAGTAGGAAGCTTCCGGAGAAGTTGGGGCATGAGCTGCTAAAGAAGAAACTGAGGCTCAGAGAGGTTAAGGGGCATGCTAAGGTCACCCAGAGATACAGAGAAAGGCAGCTAACTCAGGTCTCAGCTGTAGGTTAACAAGATCCCCAGAATTGACATGGGAAGTTCTGAATGGTTCTCACCTGCTTCCCCAACTGGCCATCCACTTCTCGAAGAAGAACCACCAGCTTCTGGATAATAAGCTCTTCTAAAGAAAATAAAGAAGGATTGGGGGAACTTTGACTGAAGGATTCCTAATTCCCTCTCAATAATAAAGTCCCTCAGTGACACACCCATAGATCAAAAGCAGTATTTTATCTCTAAAACACAGTCCACAGATAAATTGTGAAAGGCAAAGAAAAGCCTTCTGCTAAACTAGAGTTTGAGTCCTGGTGTGGCACTGTGAAATAAACACTGGGCCACAAGGTCAGTTACAACCTCAAGTTTAGCGGTTCAAACCCACCCACTCCTCAGAAATCCTATACAGGTTCACTATGAGTCAGAGCCGATTCGAAGGCACTTAACAACAACAAACTAGAGTTGAGCCCTGGTGTGGTGCTGCAGTTAAGCACTAGACTGTTAATTGCATGGTTGGCAGTTCAAAGCCACCAACAACTCTCCAAAACATGATAGGGTTACTATGAGTTGGAATCAACTAGATGACACACAGCAACAACAAATTACAATTGATGCAAGAGAATTTTGCTGAGGCTTGCCATATAGAAATAGAATGGATCTTAGTGTTTATCTGCCAAGTCCTACCAATAACCACATTTAGCTCCACTTGACAGATGGAGAAACTGAGGCCTTATCCAATTGGGACCAGGAGCAGCAAATCAAAATGCAAGGAGGGAAAGTACAGGCCACTGGTGCATTGGGAACACACCATTGGCCTGTAATCTGCTTTTACTACTATTGTAAATATTCAGGAAGTCTGTGAACCAGTTGTTAAACTATTGGCAGTTTGAAATAGGCCATGTTGGGATATTTACACCACAGAAATATGCACCCTTTAAATGAGGACTCTTTCTTTTATTTTTTTCCTAGAAAGCCTGTTTCCCAGCACATTACTGGTCATGAGACACAGAGCATGCTAGGAATTGTGTAAGAAAAAATACAATCAAACTGATAGATGAGAGTGGGGTGTGATTTGGGGGGAGGGGGTCAGGTTACAACCCATAGAATAGACAAAGATTCTCTACCTGGCAAAGGCTCTCCACTTGCAACTTTGCCCAGCAGCCCCAATTTAAAAGCCAAGTCTGTGTCCCACCCTCCCTATTCTAGAGTTTCCTGGGGTATGGTCAACTGCCTTTCCAATCCCTCTTTTGGATTCAGCCTATGAAATTCCAGACTAACGAGAATCATTCAGGGGTGTCTCAACTGAGAACAAGGGTGGTACTAACTTGATTCACATGCTCCTTCCAGTTGAGGGTCCCCTTCTGGGTTGTGGTTTTTGGTCTGGGTGGGTGATTCTAGGGAGCCACCTAGTCCCCATTCCACTGATGAGGGCTTCCGGATATTGACATCTTCCAAGTCTGAAGGCATAAAAAAGTAGATATGAATATGTTTTATATCTGTCTTAAGTCCACAAATCCACAGCTGCATCCAGATTCGAGAAACTGTTAGAAGACACTGGCCCAAGACTGGTCCTGGTTGACCAGGCTCCTCACTGAATGCTCTGTCTCCTTGGACTAGCCTTGGAGGAATTCAGAGTGTTTGCTGTCCTCTCCAGAAATCAAATTCCTTCTTCTGTCAAAACTCTCTGCCTCCTCATAGTCTGGGAATTGGTGGTTAGGAAACCAAACTGTTGAGCCACTTGGTCCCACTAAGTGAACCCTGCTCCTTCTTTGACTGAAGGACTTTGCTGAGTCACTTAAACTATTTAAACCTCACTTTCCTTGTCTGTCAAATGGGAGTGAGAAGATTGACCTCACAAAATTGTGAGTGGATTAAATGAGATAATGTATCAGAGGCACTCTATAAATGTCAGGGGAATCACTGTATAGAGTAGGCCTCACCCTTTGAAGTAATAAAAAAGCAGAGGTTCTATCCTATCTTTTTTTTTTTTTTTTAATTAGCTTTCTAGGTTATTCATATTCACTTAATAGCCAGTGATCTGATACCACATGTGTGTATGTGTATGGGGTCGGGGAGGGGCTGTGGATGGTGGGTTCTGTTAGCAACCAGTTCCTTCCCTCCTCTCCACAGACCCCAGTACCTCCCTAACCCACATAGCAAAAGGCAGCTAAAAACTGAATATGACACACTATAGACCAATCCCTGCCCTAAAGGAAGCCTCCCTGACCAGAGGCTGCCTCAGTGTTACTATGGCAACACCAAGTCTGCTCACCAAGGCTGTCAGAGGTGGAGGGACGATGACCACCAACACACAGAGGCAGAAAACTGGGCCTCTTGGGCGGTCGGACCTCCAGGCTGGAAGCATCTGCCGGCCCTGCTCTCTTGGGTTCCTTGGAGCTGTGTTTCTTATGAGAAAACGCTCTCCTGAGGGTGGATCTTTTTTCTGGGGGTTTCCTTCTGGTAGCTGACGTTGGGTTTTCTACAGCCACCTCTGACTGCTGGGTTTGAAGTCTCTGTGGGAAAGATGAGAGAAATGGAGTCAGGGTCCTGACCTTGAGGAGAGACCAGCATCCTCTGGAAGCAGGCCCATCCTCTGAAGGCTAGAAGGTGTGTCCCAACCAGAACTGGGGCAAAAGTCTGCCTCACTCAGGGGGAAGCCTCAGGAAGGAAGAGGAACTGGAGATATAGAAATGGCAGGTGGGGTTGGAGGGCATGGAAGGTCTTAGTCCGGGTGAGGATGGGGATGTTCATAGGTTGGGGTCTAAATGCAGAATGTCCTCACCTTCTCTGCCCCTGACTCCTTCGCATCTTCCAGTAGAGCAAAGATCTTCTGTATGAATTCTCCTAAAAAGACCAAAATGATTGTTTGCCTCTTAGTTCTTAGAAAGCTTTTCTAAGCCGTAATCTTCATTCCCTAAGGTCCAGTTTGCTCCCTGGGCAATTCTCAGAGTCCTGGTAGAGCTTGGCACCCCAACTCCTCTGGGGTGCTGTTGTGGTTGCCCCACCCCACACACTTCTCAGGGGTGGCCTGAAGGTCGAGCCATCTTCCTGGAAACACCTAGGCACTTCCTCCTTCACCAGTGAGGGTCTATACTGTGTCAGGTTAGATGTGTTGTGAATCCAACAGACGTGACCTGAGGGCTGTCTGGCAAGGCCAGCTCCCTACTGTCCTCTGCCCACACCTCCCTCCTCTGCAGACCAGGCCCCTTCCTAGTTCCCCTTAAAGGTACATGCCCTGTGAAAAGCAAACAAGGCCAAATGAGCAGAGGTGCTGGGGTGGGGGTGGGGGGAGAGATGAGATTTTTAAAACACACAGAATTGACTGATTTTATGATCCCCAGTCTGGCTTTGCCAGTGATAAAATAATAACAATAATGACTAAGGGCAGCTGCCATTTTGGGAGTGCCTCTCCTATGACCCCTATGCCCTTCCAATCCTCTTTTCTTCCCCTGAGGCTCCGCTTCTCAAACTGGATCACATAACAGCAAGAGCAACAATCACGGCAAGTGACAGCTCACATTTATTATCTGCCAGTGGGTGCTGCTCTAAATGCTTTAATAGCTTTAACTCATTTGTTTTTGTTGTTAGGCGCTGTCAGCTAGATTCCAAGTCTTCTGACAGAGTAGAACTGCCTCACAGGGTTTTCTTGGCTATAATCTTTGGACCTCTGGTAGTGTTGTTGTTGTTGTTGTTAAGTGCCGTCAAGTCGGTTCCGACCCATAGCAACCCTGTACAGGGTTTTCGAGGGTGTAAATCTTTACAAATCAGGCTGCAAACCTGAAGGTCAGCAGTTCGAAACTACCAGCTATTCCACGGGAGAAAGATGAGGCTTTCTGCTCCCATAAAGATTTACAGCCTCAGAAACCCTGACTCCAGGGCACATCACCACCACTACCAATCTTTGGAAGTGCATCAAAGGTCTCAACCACCAACCTTTTAGTTAGCTGCTGAGTGATTAACTATCACCACTAGCATTTCTTTTAACTCATTTGTTGTTGTTAAGTGCGGTCGAGTCAGTTCCGACCCATAGCGACACTGTATAGGGTTTCCCAGGAGCTACTGGTGAGCTTGAACTGCCAACCTTGCAGTTCAAACAGCTTTGCAGTCTGGCGCATTAACCCGCAGCACCACAACAGGACTCCTTTAATTCATTTTGTTGTTGTTGTTAAGTGCCGTCAAGTCAGTTCCGACCCATAGCGACCCTGTACAGGGTTTCCGAGGGTGTAAATCCTTACGGGAGTAGAAAGCCTCATCTTTCTCCCGCGGAGCAGCTGGTAGTTTCAAACCGCTGACCTTAAGGTTCGCAGCCCGATTCGTAACCACTACGCTACCAGAGCTCCTTTAGGGCCTCTCAATAATTTGAGGGTAGTTCTGGTGTGGTGATGTGGGCAAATGTGCTGAACTGCAAAGCCGACTTGAACCCGCAAGTTCGGAGGTTCAAGTTCACCAGCCACTCCTTGGAAACCCTATACAGGGTCACTATGAGTCGGAACTGACTCAATGGCACTTAACAACAACAATGATAACTAGAGGAGTACTATCATCACCCTAATTTTACAGATGAGCTATATTCAACCCAAAACCTTAAAGATCACTACCATCTCTAGAGCCCTTTGGTGGGGCTGACATAGGCCAATGCTTTCCTATGTCACTACCCCCACTTCCGGTTTACAGCAGCGCCTCAGGCAGGTTATGTAACAAGCAGTATGACTTTAGCCTGCTGCATTCAGGAGGCAGATCTGGGCAAGTCACCACCCCTCTCTGACTCAGGTTCTCTTCTTCAAGGGCAGAGAGCAAACTAGATGTTTTCTGAGGGGCCGATGAGGTAAAAGGCAAGGGGGTACTTACCGAATTCAGAGGCTTGGTCCAGATGCAACTCGTCTTCAGGCCCCTGGTTTCCTGTTCCCGGTGTGAGTTTGGTGGGGCTAGAATCCTTAACAGCTGTAGACAAAGCTTCTGGGACTTGAGGTTCTTCCAAGTCTGAGAGGCGAAAGAAATGTATGGGTATGTTAGTAACTGTATGCTCAGAAGTTAGCCTAAATTCAAAATGAGCTCCATGGTTAATCCCACCAGCGTCCTGCCGGTGGGTGGGGATGGGGTCGTCTGTTGACTGGACTCATCTCTGCTTTACTGACCACACCAAACTCCCTTATTCCTCTGCACTTCCATAGCTTCCATGACTCCCATGCCCCCACCATCTTTGCTTAATTCACCAGAGAATCACAGATGGCTCTGTCATTGCATGAATTAATGGATTGTGACCAGAATCCCTTCAAAACCTGAACTGCTTCCATTGGAGAGTCACTCTTTGGTGTCAAAAATTGCCTCCTTCCTTTTTAAATGCAAATGCCCTTGGCCAGGTTGACCAATCAGGCTGTACCAAATGGATGGCCAGCATGAAATCATTCGTTGGAGCCTTTCTTCTTCTAGCCCTGGCTCCATCACGGAATGCCCATGTGACCTTGAACACATTGCTTTATCTCCTTGAACCTCAGTTCCCCCTTGTGTAAAAAAATGGGGGATAATAAAAGCACTTCATAAGGTGAGGACTGAGGATACATGGCTATGCAATGCTGTTGTTGTTGTGTGCTGTTGAGTCAGTTCTGACTCATAGTGACTCTGTATAGGGTTTCCAAGGAGCATGTCTTGGGTTAGCAGTCGAGTGCTTATACAGCACCACACCAGGACTCCATATACAGTTGTTGTTGTTGTTGTTAAGTGCCCTCAAGTTGATTCCGACCCATAGCAACCCTGTATAAGGTTTCATATACAGTAGGGGGTGTTTTATTTTACAGGCGAGGAAACTGAGGCATGGAGATGGGGAATGACCTAGAAAGTACAGCTCAGCGCTCAGGTCTCCAGCCTTCCAGGCTCCAGTTTTTCCTGTACACACCACCCCCGCCAGGGTATAAAAGCTGAGGCTATGGACAGATAAGAATGATTGGGTTTCCCTGAGCACATTCCATCAGGAGGTTGCCTAGACTTTGAGGAGGTTTTGTATGTGGTGATGGGTGACCTATTGTTAGCCAGTCTCTTCTCTCCTTCCCACACCACTGGGGACTGAATACAAAAGTCAGAACTAGGATGGCAGCCTTATAATGGTTAACGCCAACCCTGGAGAAGGTTCCAGAGCTGGAGGCAGCTGCAGTGTTGCTATGGCAACTGCAGAGCCTGCTCACCAGTGTTGCTGGAGATAGAGGGCCGATGGCCACCACCACACAGAGGCAGAAAACTGGGCTTCTTGGATGGCCGGGCCTCCAAACTGGAAACAGCTGCAGCCCCTGCTCTTCTGGACTCCTCGGAGCTGTGTTTCTTATGAGAGAACACTTTCCTGAAGCTGGATCTTTTTTCTGAGGATTTCTTCCTGACAACTGAGGCTGGGTTTTGAACAACCATATCAAGCTTCTGGGTTTTAAGTCTCTGTGGGGAGATAAAGAAACTGAGTCAGAGCCCCTGACCTGATGAGAAGGGAATGTTTCCTCGGGAAAAATTGGAAAGCCAGGCTACAGGGTGACCCCAAATGAGGGCCGGCAACAAGAGTCCAGAGTCCAGAGAGAAGTTGGGAGGGATGATGGGTAAGGGGCTGAAGGAGGGTCTGGACAGGCCAGCAGGGTTTGAGTAAGGAGGAAAGGCAGCGAGCCCCTGGACACCTACACTGATGATTTAGTCCTCACCTTTTCTTCCCACTCATCTCCCACTTTCTTGAGAAATTCCACTATCATCTGGAAGATCGCCTCATCTAGAAGAAAGAAAACACATTCAGTTAACCTTTCCAAATGCACAGAGAACCCTTTCTAGATGACTGTCGGAACTTCTGAGATGAATTTGGGTCTTTAGGATTGGGTAAGAGTTCTGCTAAAATAGTGCCTCAGACTACAGAAGGCCCAAGGCAGGGGCTGGTCCTTCTGAGAGCGGGTTGGAGGGCATTGGAAGAATCACAGGAGGAAGGTAATAAACCAAAGCACGAATTTTTATGCAGTAGATTTCATTCAGGTCAGCTCTCTGGGTATTCAAGTTGCTGTTAAATGCCTTGGCGTCAGTTCCAGTTTATAGAGATCCAGCATAAATATAGAGGCTGGTGAATTTGAGCCACCGATTTTTTCAGTTCAAACTGACCTTGCTGTCCAGGACTTATTCAACAGCCCCACACCAGGACTCCTGCACAGGCAATGGTGTCCCATTATTTCCTCTACATTTCACATATCTATAACTATCTGCTTTGGGTTCAGCAAACTGTGTGACCTTGAGTAAGTCTGATAGCCTCTCAGAGCCTCCATTACTTCCCCCTGTGAAATGTGTATTGTTTTCCCAATCCTGCCTCCCTCAAAAGCTGCGAGCCATCAAATGAGGGGCTGGATTTGGAAACACTGTAAGACTGATGCTGAGGGGAACTAACTAGGCTGAAAAACACCAGCAGGCATGACTCAGAGACAGCCTGTCACATATGTCCCCCAACCACAACCCCAAGGAGAATCCACAAACAATGGAAATTATTTTCTTTGACACCCCAGTCAGCTTACTCAAGGGCGATATTCCCAGACTGACCTCTGCCAGCTGATGGTTTACACAGAAAGAGGAGTAAACAATACTCATTGTTCCCAGAGTTTTTATCACCTAGTTTTTATCACCCCTCCTCCCCTCCCTACCACCCCATTTTTTCCTTCCTTATAAATCCACTTTGACTTTTGTTCCTTGACTCCATCTAGCACTTGGCTCCCTCTCATATGACAAAACAATTAACACATAAAGTAACTAAGCAGCCTACAAAAGAATTACAGAATATTTTATACACTCATTCTATACAGGGAATTAGAAGAATCAGAAATTATTATTGACTTGGCTGGGTTCAATAGTGGTTTCGTGGCTGAATATGGGAATGTCCTCAGTTTTTAGAGATGCATGCTTACGCACGTTGGGGTAAAGCCTTGTTTTGCTTTAAAAATGATTTAGCAACACGCACGTGAAGCAAATATGGCAGCTTGTTAGCCATTGTTGAATCTGGGTGTGAGTGTATGAATGTGAATTGAATTTTGTTTCTGCTCTTCTATATACAAGGGGGCTGGTTTCAAAGAGTTTGTAGAAAAATCACATTCTCTTTTCATTCCATTTTGAAGACCCCTTGTGTATTGTGTATATACACATATGTTGTTGTTAAGTGCAGTCCAGTTGGTTCCAATTCATAGCAACCTTTATAAGGTTTCGGAGGAGCAGCTGGTGGGTTTGAACTGCCGATCTTGCAATGAGTAGTCCAGTGCTGATTCTACAGTGCCACACCAGGACTCCATATCTACATAATCATTTATATAAAATCAAAAACCAAGCCCACTGCTGTTGAGTCAATTCCAACTCATAAAGACCCTACAAAGGGTTTCTGAGACTGTAAATCTTTAAGGTAACAGACAGCTTCCTCTTTCTCCTGTGGAACAGCTTGTGGGTATGAATCACCAACCTTGCTGTTATCAGTCCAACACCTAACCCATAGCGCCACTATATACATGCTTTTTAATTTAAAAAAATGAGATCATTGCTAATCATCGCATTCTGAAACTACTTTTTCCATGTAATAATATATCTTAGTTCTTTTTCGATGTCATTATTCAGTCTACAGCTCTGCTGCCCTTTCTCCTTATGATGATTGTATCCCATTGGATTCACGTACTTTGATTTATTTACCCTGTTTCTTATTCCTTATTGAATGGATCTTTTCTTTCTTTGTTTTTTTTTTCACTTTTCATTGTAGTTTAGGTGAAAGCTTAGAGGGCAAATTAAACCTTCAAGAACTTACACGAATTTTGTTTTGTTCTTTAACAATTTATATGAATGTTGACACTAGTTACAATTCCATCAGTGTAACAGCAATCTGCCCACTTCCTACATGGTTTCCCTGTTTCCGTTTTTCTTTCTTGGTTCATCCTGCCTTGTGACTATGTTTTTTAGCAAATGCCGCCCTTTTAGTCTCGTATGGTTGATTTTCTATATCTTTTTTATAGTAAAATATAATTTTAACTAATAAAAAAAAAAAAACAACAAAACACCAAAGTTTGATTTCCATGAGTATAGTCTCTGGTGGTACAAATAGGTAACATGTTCAGCTGCTAAACAAAAGTTTGGAGGTTCAAGTCCACCCAGCGGTACTTCAGAAGAAAAGTTTAGCTACGTGCTTTTACTAAAACGGCTATTGAAAACCCCTGGGGCACAGCTCTACTCAACACACATGAATTTTCCATGAGTTGGAATTAACTCCTCAGCAACTGGTTTTGTTTTGTTTGAATTTGCCATAAGATGCATTTGCCAGCAACTCTTCTGGTTCCTAAGACTCGTTCCAATGAAACTCTAAACCAGGAGAGTCAAGAGCAGTGCACACACATTGATTGAGAGCAGCCATGGAAGATCTGTGTAAACACTCAGAGGTTAGCACTGGACTGCTAACCACAAGGTGGGCAGTTGATACCTACTAGAGGTTCTGCAGAGCAAAGATGATATTTCCTCCTCCCATAAAGATTTACAACCTCGGAAAGCTTATACAGGGCGGCTATGAGTCAGAATCGACTTGGTAGTGCGTTTGTTTGGTGGGTAAAGAAAGAACGCTAACTAGATTCTGACGTACTGTCAAGTTGCTCCTCCTCCCGCTGGTGACCTGCGGTTTGGGAAGAATCATCCACCACTCCAGTATGTCCACCTCCAACGCACAAGGATTCCTGAAGATCAGGACCTTCTGGGCCTGTATAAAAAGATGAAAGTTAGTGAGTAAGTGTGTGCATGTTGGGGTGGTGGTTGGGGAGAAGGGGTTGGTCAGTGACATGTATCTAATCTTGTTAACCAGCATGGGAAAGTAGCACAGGAGCCAAAGCTGTAGCCAGCTCAAGTCTCAACCACAAAATGGGGAGTCCACCATTTCTTCCTCAGGAGAAAGCCGTAGCAGTCTGCTTCTGTAAAGATTTACAGCCTTGGAAACCCCTATGTCCTGTAAGGTTGCTCTGAGTCAAAATTGACTCTAAGGCAATAGGTCTGGTTTGGGTTTATTCACTTGACCACCCCAGAAACAGCAACTGTTATCTCTGTTTTACCAATGGAAAAAAAGATGGGGGCCCAAAGAGGAACGTCACCAGCCTTGGGTCACACCGCTAGCATATGGTGGAGTTGGGGTTTGAGTTCAAGTTCTCGGCCACTGTGCTGATCTGCCACACAGAAATTTCATGGTGGCATTGTCCCCAAGAGTTCCCCTACCCTCTATGTCCCCTCTCTTAAAAAGTTGAGGATCAAATTTAGAATACTCTAGCCCTTTGGGGGAAAGGATGAGTTACCACAAAGTAGGGCATGTGCTTACCCTTTTGAGCTGAGCTAAGGTCAATCTCCTCGGGGTGTGAGGTGGCCAGCTTGGCCTCCTGGCCTGCAGCTTCCTGATCTTGAGTCCTCTTGGTTTCTTCAGCAACAGGTTTCTTGTGACCAGAGGTTTTCCTGCAGCTGGCCCTTTTGTCATGGGATTTCTTCCTAATGGCTGGCTCTCCAGGGGTCACAGGAGACTCCACAGAAGGGGAGAGACTCTCCTCCACTGGCCTTTTGCTGGCCTTTTCTTTGGACTCCTCAGGGTTTGTCCTCATGAAGAAATTGAGTAAGGTTTTCAGCCACCCAGACTGTGGTCGCCTATGGGCCTTTTCCTTCTTGGTGTCCTGTGATACCATCTGCTCACTGGGAATAAACTTGTCGGTCTCCTCTGGAGTCAGAGCAACAGTCATGGTGCTCGGAACATTCAAAGGTTGAACTGGACTCTCAGAATACCTGGCCCCATCACTGGCTGTCCGACGAAGCACCCTCTGAGAGGAGTCAGTATGTAAAAAGACACACTGGCAGTCCCATGACTCCGAGTCCTTCCTGGAATCCTGTGATCTGTCCGGAGACCCGGCTCTTCGGTCTGACAAGTTCTTCCTCAGGCCTCTCAAATTCTTCATTGGACTACAACCAAAACAAGCAGCAGTCTTAGAAGAGACCTATCAGAAACTACGGTGGTAGACTAATTATGTTGCCTGGTAGGCCCACTCACCTTCACTCATTAATGAGTGTCTCATTAACCTTTTATGCTGACACTTTCCCAAAGTTATTGTAGCACTGTAGGATAACCACTGGATTGCTAACCACAAGATCAACAGTTCAAACCCACCAGAGGCGCCTCAGAAACTCAATACAGGGTCGCTATGACTCAGAACTGACTCAATGGCACGTAACAACAATAACAACAATTGTCTCATTTAAATTCTTCAATAATCCCGGGAGGAAGGGCACATAGTTGTACCCACTTTCCAGAGGAGAATACTGTGCTCATGGCCCAAATTTTACAGTGGAACTGACACTGCTGGGTATGCACATGAAGACAACCTTGGAAGGAACAAATTATGGGCTAGAGGAGGAGGTAGACACCTTGGAAGGGTTTATTTGTGTTTTAATATTCCCTATGATAAGCACTCCAGCTGCTCCTTGAAACACTATACAGGGTAGTCATGGGTCAGAAGCGACTCGATGGCACTTAACAACAACATGATAAGCACTGGGTCAGAACCAACTCTACAACACTTAACAACAACAAAGACAAGCACTGGACTTGTGGTGTGGTGCTGAAGGATCAGCACTGGATTACTAACCACAAGGTTGGCAATGCAAATCCACCAGCTGCTCCTCAGAAACCTTATATAGGGTTGCTATGAGTCAGAATCAACTCGTCAGCACTTAATAACAGGATAAGCACTGGATCGCCAAGGCCAGCAGCTCAAACTCACCAGCCAGTCCTCGGAAACCCTATACAGAGTAGCTATGACTCAATGGTACTTAACAGATGGAGCACCTGGATCATAATGAAGACCCTTAGCAATACATGCCAGCACCTTGTATGAAAACTGCCTGTCTCAGAGGCTACCACGCCGCTGTGCTTCCTAAACACAGTAGAGTGGGACAAGGCAAAGAAATCATAGTGGAAACAATTTTTTTTTTCTCTTGTTTTTATAAGCACACACTATGTGGCCCAAATTGTGCTGGATGCCAGTATCAGTGCCAGCTGCCGTAGAGTCAGTTCTGACTCCTGATAACCCCTTATGTGTCAGAGTAGAACTGTGCTCCACAGGCTTTCCAATGGCTGATTTTTCCAGAAGCACATCATCAACCAGCCTTGTCTGCTGAGGTGAATTCAAGTGGCCAATGCATTGATTAGCAGCCCAGCACATGAACCCTTTGCATCACCCAGGAGCAAAATGCTTAACGCTGTGGTGGTGGTGGTTAGGTGCCATCAGGCCGGTTCTAACTCATAGCAACAGAGTAAAGCATTGCCGGATCCTGCCATCCTCACATTTGCTCCCATGTCTGACCCCATTGTTGCAACCACAGTGTCCATCCATCCTGCTGAGGCTAGGATATAGTAACGAACAAGATGCAGTATGTGCCCATGAAGAATATATTCTGGTCTACATTACCTTACTGGCTGTTCTCTTTAATAGCGTATGGTTTTAAGAGAGAATATGTTTAGATTGAAAGTCAACTTGTATTTGATTTTAAGATCAAAGTAAACGGAACCAGAAGTATTTACTGAACAGTGCCAGGGTTCTCTCTGTTTTTTCGGTATACTCCTGTGGTCAGAGCAAATTAGTTAGTTGGTCAGACATAAGCTGTCCAACAACAAAACCGTAAAACCAGCAGAACACATAGGACCTTTTTGTTCAGATTAGCTGCCTTTCTTCTTGCGCTACCCTGACTTGGGAGGCCCATTGCATGGAGGGCTGGAGCATCTTCCCCAGCTACTGTAAAAAGAGGTGCAACAGTCTTTTTTTTTTTTAAATGTCATTGCTATGGAAACCATTTTCACCATTGCTGATGGCCGCAGTGCCCTGCCATGTTGAAAGGACAAGCTGCAACTTCCAATCAGAACATCAGTATAATTCCACAGGCAATATTTTTCCTTCTTGAAGAAGGCCTGGTGGTGCCATCATTAAAATACTCAACTGCTAACCCAAAAGTCAGCAGTTTGAACCTACCATCTTTCTCTCTGTGGGAGAAGGATGTGATTGTTTTTATAAAGATCAGCATCTTTCTGGTATTCTCTACTTGCAGCCAAGATCCATCTGACATCAGCACTGATATCCCTCCTTCCACATCCTCATCTGAATCTGGATTGAACCTCTGGCAGGTCCCTGTCAATGTACTGTTGCAGCCATTTTTGAATTATCGTCAGCAAAAATTGACTTGTGTATGATATTGTTCAATGATTTCTGCATTCTGTTGGTTCACCTCTCTTTGGAATGGGCACACATTTTTTTTTTTTTTTTTGAAATTAGATTGTCATTTCTCTAGCCACCTGTGGGTAGATTGGAGTTCTTTTGTGGCACTGTAGGATGCGCACTGGACTGCTCACTGCAAGGTTGCAAGGTTGGTGGTTCAAACCCACCAGCTGCTCCTTATGAGTCAGCACTGACTCAACAACTCTAAGTAACAGCAGCAACATGGCTAGATTTGAGTCTCCAATCTCAAACTTAGCAGTCAAACTTGTTAACCGTTTGCATCACCCAGGAACCCCATTTTAATATTACTCCGTCAACCTCAAATTCTACATGGGCTGAAATTAATTCCTTTTAAACTTTCTAGACCCCCCAAAGGGATGGACTGCCACTATGGCAGAAACAATGGGCTCAAACATAACAATGATTGTGAAGTTGGCACAGGACTGGGCAGTGTTTCATTCTGTTGTGCATAGGGTCATTGTGAGTCGGATCCTACTCCACAGCACCTGACAACAGACTTTCTAGATTTTCTGATGGTAAAATTCTGCTTACTCAGAATTCATCAAAGCAGAAATGTCCTTTTCCTGCCACTTTTTGTCTTGTCCTGTGCCCCTGCTTTTACCAGTGTTACCCATGCTCAATCTCACTATCGGGGAATCCCACCCTGTCCCGGAAGTGCTTCCAGGCCAACGAGCCATAACAACAGCAGACACCCACTGAATTGCATGGAACCCCACTGCTTTTATAAACTTGTTTATCACCTTGCAGAGGGTGAATTTCAGGGCGAAGTCCAAATACCAGCTCAGAAATACCCAACTGACTTCTGATACCAGATCACATGACTTCTGATAATACATGACATATACCAATGACGTGTTTAAAAACAACAATGAACAACCACAAGAAAGCACATAAAACTGACCTTGAGTTAGATGGAGCAGGAAGCTTGCTTGTTTTTCCCAATCCCATTACCTTTTTTTGGTTTTATTCCGTAATTGTTCACTCACTGACATCACCTCTCAACTTGCTCACCCAGCTGTCTGTCTTAAAATGTAACTGCTACAGCACTGTTTCACAGAGAGATTTTACTGCTCCCCTTCCCCATTCCTGTAACCTCCACAAAATAAATACGAGTATATACTCAACTGCTACACATCCTGGTGCATGCAGTGTTGTGGGATAAGCACTGGACTGCTAACCACAAGGTTTAAACCCACCAGCCGCTCCTCAAAAACCCTATACAACATATAACAAAACACACCCAGACCTGCTCGGGGAGAGAGTGGATGTGGGCACCCACACAGGGACCCACATCAGTGCCCACAGACACACTTGCTTAAACAAGTACACCGACCTGGACTCAGAGGTATCAGTTGCAGTACAGTCCATTTTTGATTCACAGCAACCTCATAGGGTTATACCCCATAGGACAGAGTAGAACTGCCCATAGGATATAATCGTTACAGGGAGCGATCACTAGATCTTCCTACCACCAAACCACTGGGTAGATTCAAACAGCCAAATGGTTAGCAGCCAAGTGCCTAACCACTGTACCACCAGGGCTCCCTCATGGATTCATAACAACCTGTATATTTCCCAACTCAATGAGGTTGTTAAGGTGATACAAATGGATAACATGCTCAGCTGCTAAACAAAAGGTTGGAGGTTCAAGTCCACTGGAAGTACCACAAAAGAAAGACCTAGTAATCTACATCTCAAAGATCAGCCACTGAAAACCCTCAGAGCACAGTTCTACTCTGACACATATGGGTCACCATATGTTCAAATACACTCAATAGCACCTGGGGGAAAAGCAAAAATCACCAATGTATTTATGTGTAGATAATCATCAATGTAATTATGAGTAGAATTGCCCCCCAGGGTTTCCAAGGCTGTCATCTTTACAAAGCACACTGCCACCTCTTTCTCCCTTAGAGTGACTTGTGAGTTCAAACTTTTGGTTGGCAGTTGAGTACTTAACCACTGTACCACAGGGCTCCTTGAATGAGCTATACACAGACACAAAACCACCTCACTTTCTGCTGTGCTACACTCCATCCTGAGAAACTGTCATCTTGATGATCTCATTGAATCTTTGCCTGAGTCTGAGAATCAGGCTAGCTGTGGGGGAATTGAGGCTCTGAAATTAAGAGATTTATGCAGGCTCCACCTATGGGAAGCAGAGAGCTACAACTTGACTCCACTTCTCCTGCTTCTCTCTCTTACATCAAGTGGCCTCCCATAAACATAGATACATACTCCCCAATGCATGTATGCACATACACAAAAGACTTACAGATGAGTAAATTTGCTAAGGCCACACCAACCAAGATAACCACGTCCACACACATGCCCGCTGTGATTTGTACACACAGACATCTTTACATCTGTGCCCAGATGTAAACATTAGTGTCCAGTGACAACAGTTGTAAACACAGCCCAGGGTTCATAGACCAGGACAAGAAACCAGTCAGCAGGCTAAAGGGTCAAGGGTTACATGTGAACTCATGGTCTACTTGCCATTGGTATCGTTCACACTCCATCAACCTGGGCTCCTAAAAAGGTGAGACTCCCATTACAACTCTTGGGAACACATGTATGGTGGGGCAGTAGAGTTTGCTCTCCATACCTCCATACTGTGGAAAGGGGGTAAGGTCCTGGAGGGATGACCCTCAACCTCCACAGGCAGG